GGAGATCAGGCTGTTAATAAATTAATTTAAATTAATTGAGGTCATAACATTGAGACCAGATTCAACAGGTTTAATTTCTTTACAGTAAGACACACCAAAGTGTTCTTTCTGTGTATGTGTGAGTGTGTGTGTGTGCATGCACAGCAGGCTAAGATAGACAGTAGTCAAGGAGAGAGATATTGGTGGCTCAGTCTAGGATATAATCAAGGTTATAGGTAGAGTACATTTTGAGAGGAGGAAGAGGAAATGTTCAGTTTTGTTCATATTGAGAGGCAGATCAAAAGAATGTTGCTACTAAAAACTAAATGAAGAAATTCATTTCAAGAAATACCTTCTCAGCTGAGCTAGGTGCCCAGACCAAGTCTTCCCTTAATGAAATGATATAAAACACCCCCCATCCCCCCACCCCTAGCCCTGTCTCCCACGGCGGGTGCCACCAAGGAAACCCTCAATAACCATGTGTTTTCGAACTGGGGTACAGGCGAGAGGTGTGGGGGGTGATAGGGCCCACCAGAAACAGAGTGGGAAACAAAACAACAGATGTACTGAAATACATTGCCGAGGGAATCAGCATGTAAGACAAGGAGAGGTCTGCTGCACCATGTGGGTAGCATCTGGCCTGTACCCTGACCCTGGTTCTTGTATAAATAAAAATAAATAAATAAATAAGCCTTTAAAAATAATATAAGAATAAAAAAAAAAAAGAAATAACTTCTCATTGAATAAGAAGGATGTACTCTGTCAAAGGCTGCTCAGTCAGGTCAAGTCATTTTATGTGAGAATTTGTGAGTGGATTTAGCAACTGGAGGACCTTCACAGGAGGTTCTGGTAGCGTATTAGAGACAAAAGCCTAATTAGAGTCAGCTGGAAAGACCATAGGTAGGGGGAAACTGGGGACAAGTATAGTAAACTAAAGTAAATCTGCTCGCAAGGAAAGCAAAAAAATGAGGTGGCAGGCTAAGGGGTTGGAGTCAAGAGAATTTCATTTGAGGATTGGGAAAGTAACACTATATTTCTTTTTCTGTTTTAGAATGATTGACATTAATGGCATTAAAGAGACAAGTGAGAATTGTTGAAATCATGCCCTCAAGAAGTTGAAAAGGATCAAGTTAATAAGGCATGGGTCGAAAGGCTGTTATTATATAGACACATAGTTAAGCAGAGTTTGTGGGTAAAGGAGCTTTAGTAGATGAGGCTGTGTGATTCTAGGAACATTCTTTCCAATTGCTTCACTTTTCTCAATGACATACAGATCAAGGTCATCATCACAGATCTAAATGACATGTATTTGAGATACAAAGAGTAGACAGTAAAGATGAGAAGAGTTGCTTCCTTCTAAAAACAGTCCCCAATTCTTCTTCAATTAGGAACTAATCCAATTTCAGAATTGATTTGACAATTTCCACTTGCTCAAGGAGTGAGCCTGTTATATACATATATATATATACATATATATATATATATGTCTTGTTAATCGGTGTGGACCTGTTCATGATAATTATACAGTAGAGATGAGAATGTGACCCATGTCTAAACAATAAGACCCAATTCTGGGACTTGAAATGGGATGCAAATCTAAGATTTTTCTAAATGTTTCATGTATATATGAACATATTTGTGTGTTTGTGTGTGCATGAGCATGAGTATATGTTAACTCCATACACTACCTCATGAGGTTGATGTTATTATTCCAATTTTACAAAAGGGTGAAACTAAGGTACAGAGGTTAAAACTTACCAAAAGTCCTCTAGTTTGATAATAATAGAGCCAAGCTTTAAGCCAACACACTCTCCCTTCAGACTGTGTGCTCTGAATCATTTTATGACCCTCATAGCAAATATTTTCTTACTGTAGCAGAAATTACAATCTATGAATCCAATATTTAGCCAATCCATAATATTAGAGCTCTAAATTAGTCAGAGAGGATGTCTATATCTCAGACTCTCCAATTATGAGACTAAGTTTGATTAATGATATACAAATAGATCATTGGAAAGACTTCTAGGAAAGCATATTAATGACATACAGAGAGACCTTTTGTTTTTTTCACTTCTTCCTTCCTGTTTCTTGGATTATGAATATTATGCCTGGAGTACCAACAGCCGTTTTGGTCTATGAAGCAAAATTCCATGCAAAGAACATCAAAAAGAAAAATAGAAAGTGACAGATACTCGTATTTTCAAACCACTATAGTAAGGGTTCTCTGATGTAAATAGTCAAATTGAATCATGAAAATTTGTTGAAGAAAACTGTGCAAACACAAACATATCCATTCTAGATTTCTAATTACTCCAAAATTTATATAAGACAAGCAACTAAGGCTTTTGCATATGCTAAGAACTCTACATGCAATATAAAACATTTGAGCGCCCTATACGAACCTACATCCAAACAGATGTTTTATTTGAAAACTCTCTGCTCCATATTGAATATAAGATTAAGAGAAAAATGTCAGGACATATTTTGTACATATAAACTTAAAAACCTACTCATATAGCCTTATGTTCATACATAAACAGTCACATATGTATATATAAACATCCATAAATGCAAAGAGTCATTCAGCTTCACATATAGAGATAATAATTGGCACATTCTTTATAATTAATTCCTACTGAAATGAAGTTCTGGAGAACATTAAGCAACCAGAAGCCACAAATCTCACAAAACAAAATAGAAACACCAAATGAGGTTTTTATGAGTTCATTGCCTACTCGCAGGAGACTTAGAAGTACAAAAACCTGAGGTGTAAGATTGAAAGTTTGCCAATTGCTTTCTTTACACTATTAGCAAAAGAGCATCTACCTCATCGTGGAGGGAGGTCATAACTACTGAAATAAGCCAGGACATGTTTGACTTGGTTTTTGTTCAAGGGTATATCCCCAAAATCCATATCAATGCCGACTGGTAGCATTTGCGGTGTTGAATGAATTGGACATGGACACTCACAGAAAATCAAAGGGGACTTTAATCATCATAGGGTGCACGGGCAGTCGCTCTGAAGAAATAGCTTTGAAAAATATCAAACTCAATCTACAACCACAAAATGAATTTCACATACAAAAAATGATTAGATAAACCCCAATACAATGGAGCAAAGTCTGATATCTTTTTTTGCTGTTTCTTTATTCTGTTCCCAGTTATAAAACCAGACATCAAAGGTTGAGAAAGTGGCATCTGTTTCCCAGGGCACAATAATTTCTTAAATGTAAGAATTCTTTTACTGGGGTGGATTACCCAGCACAGAAAGCCTTAGAGGCTTTCTCTCACTAGCTTGGAAACCTGACTGTGAATTCTGAGAGAAATCTGGTGGGGTTGAAACACTGCTTAGGGAACTGCTGAGCATCAGTCAGATGATGATGTTCAAAATGAGGCAGAAAACAATGAAAGATGGAATAAGGGTGTAGCATAAGGATACTGGGGAGTTTTCAAATACCATTTCAGTCAGGACATAGGAACTTCATTTAGTGGACACACACGCATACACACACACACACAAATACGGAACACATGAACAGAATTATATAGCAAGCTTTACACAGAATAACTTGTAGAGATAATATTAAGAATGCTTTCACCACTGAGAAGTATCAATTTATATAAAATATGACTTTTGGATCCTTAAATCTGCATTGTAAATAACTCACAAAAAATTTAACAATTCATAATAGCCTAGATTTTAAATCATATATACATATATATATAGAGAGATAAACACACAACACATATTATGTTTGTCAGCAATTTTAAAATATTTAATACATTTGTTATAGTTAAGCCTAGCAGTAGGTATAACTATGTGTAACACTAACATATGCCGCTTATTCAAAATTAAATTTTTTTCATTTATTTCTCTTCTATCGCATGGCAATCTTGTATTGGTTTCTTTTAATATAAAAATTTGCATGATTAATGATATGAAATCTCTGTTCTCTTCAATGCAGTATTATATTTTCCTCATAATCTTTATTAAACAAAGACCTCATTTTATATGTACCTCATTTTTTTTACACATATACACATATTTTAGGACTGAAAAATATTCACATATGGGAGTATATGTATGTGTATATATAACTATGTGTGTATGTATGTATGTATGTATTTAACATATTTTCTCCAGCCATTGTTCTATTGATAAGTATTTAAGTTGTTTCCATATCTTGGTTATTGTAATTACTATTGTAGTAAACATGGAGGTATACAATTTTTTCAAGTTAGTGATTGATTTTTATAACTCGCCATTTCTTAGATTTGCTAAAGGTTTATCAATATTGTTGTTGATCTTTTCAAACAACCAACTTTAATCTTGTTAATTCTCTATTTTTCTCTATTTTACTTATATTTAGTATTTAGTTTTCCCTACCCTCTATTAGGGTTCAAACAAAGAAAATCAACTTTGTTATTAAATATATTAATGGGAGTGAATGAGGGATCATATACATTCTCAATCCATTCCTCCTTCCCTTTCTCTTCCTCTCTGTCTCTCTCTCACACACAAAATAGTAATCTATTTTTCTTCTCACACAAAATAGTAACCTATTTTTCTTCATCTAGAAACAAAAATAAAAATAGACATAGAAAGCTTAGAAGTATTGCACTGTATACCTTAATATAAAACCTCTAAGTATATTCTCCTTTTTAACATGAATGTTGAAAAGCAAAATGACTTAGCAGAAAGAAGTCTGAATGTATCTCTAGGAAATCTCAATACTGTTTATGACACATATTGAGTGTAGTATTGACAGTGCATTTTACCTCCCTGAGCCTCAGTTTCCTCATCTACAAGGAGAAACCAACACTCCTTGTCCCATTCACTACATTAGTGTAACAGCATCGAGAGAGAGAGAGAGAGAGAGAGAGAGAGAGAGAGAGAGAGAGAGAGAGAGAGAGAGAGCGCGCGCGTGGGGAGAGAGAGAGAGAGCATGCATTTTGCATTTTTGAAAGTATGGCATGGAACAAAAAGTGCTGCACATCACAGTGTATAATTACTCACTCACCAAACACCGTTCTTGCAGGCACAGATTCTCTGTTAAGCCAGAATGACACTTGGGAGAGAATGACAGTCATGATGCAAGGCAGATATGTCTGAATCACAAAATACCCAATTTTTCTTTTCAAGTGGAAATGAGCTGTCATTACAGTATATTCACCTGGAAGAAAAATTTAAGAAGCTTAAGGAACTGTAATAGTCAATAGTTTGAACATTTTGGAAATGTAAGGGATTAAGGAAAGAGCAATATTCAAAAAAGAGTTATCAAATATATGACATGAAAATTACATAAGTTTAAATGATTCCCTAGCATGGCAAGGTTATTTAAATGATAATTTCAATATTATCTAGAAACTTGCTCTCCATGTACTATGGTATAGTGATATTTGTTTTTCTTTCTGCAGGCTGTGCTTATTTTACAAGGATTGCATATTTCATAAATTCTCACAACCCATACATTATCTTACAAGTTCAAGACTCATTTCCCCTCTGCAACAACCACAAGACTCTGCTTTGATTATTCTACTTCAGTCCTCTCTGACACTTTAAAGCGCTGATCCAATCTTCAAGACTGATATTTTGGTCCATATTTTCCACTTTTAACCCCAGAATTATTACCCATTACGTTTCTCTCGCTGTGGTATGTCTTCACTCTGGAACGTTCTATCTGACCCTTAAAGCTACCCTCCTCTCTACTCTCTGGGTTTTAATGATTGCCTGATGGAAAATTTATACCAAGTAGCTGCCTTTTCTCAGAGCAGTGCAGTCCATAGAAAAGGCATCAGTTTTCCCAAGAAGTTAGTAGTAATTACCCACAAATCAAGAGTAGAATAATTCTCAATTATCCAGAATAATAAGAGAAGAATCAGAAAGCTGAGGAAATTGTAAAATTGTTTGAAGGTAAAATTCATTTTTCTCAGAAGATACCTTTTTTTTTGCATATAAGAAGTAGGGTGTAGGAAAGAGATGCGGGGGGTTGGGTGGGTGAGAGGATTCACCAGAGACCAAGTGGGGAGCAGAACAGACAGATTTACTGAAATACACTGTGGAGGGGAGCAGCTGGTGAGGTAGGGGAGGTCTGCTGGGCCATATGTGGGCTATCTCGCTGTCCAGGGATAGAACTCAGGCTGTAGAGGTGATAGCACTGTGAATTAGCCCAGTAGATACTTTTTGAATGCATAGAATTCTTTAGACTAGTGTTTCTTATACTCCAATGCACACTTGGTGTATCTTCTTGGAATCTTATTAAAATGAAATTCCTGACTTAATAAGGTGTGAGGCCTTAGATTCTGAATTTCTAAAAATGTCCCAAGCACAGTCTATGCTACTCATTCTTAGACCTCAAAAGTAAAATGTTTTTGATAAGCAGACACATTTCAAATGATTTTAATGCATTAATTTACTTTAAAACTAACTTTTCTTTAGATTTATTTTACTAACCTGTACTAACTTTTCTTTAGATTTATTTTACTAACCTGTACTGGATTTAATTGTTTCCTTCCCAATTGATTGGCCCAGGAGATCATATTGATTTAACCTGGAGCCATCAGGAGCAACTTGCACTGAATCAGATGCATTGTAAGTCCAAATATAAGTGACCTCTGAAGTTGTATATGCATCTGTAGGAAATCAGGAAAAAATAATTTTAATCACTTTAGTAGAACCATCAGCAAAGTGCAACATTAAAGATAGGTATTTTATAGAATCATTATTTACTATAAAATTGACATATACATTCACACTTTTTAAGGATTAAAAGTATCCTTGAAATTTATGACCTCAATAGGAAGGATGTGAAGAAAACATGTAGAGACATTTATGAATATGAGAGTATTTTCACAGCAGCCAAGTTGAGAGGTGAAGGGCGAGTTTTTCTCTAGAGCCTTCGAAAACTGCTAAGCCTTGAGATGATGAACACATCCCTCATAGACCTAAGCTGTTTAATGAAGACATTGTGGTAAAAGGTTATGAATGTCCACAGTCCATTTAAAATTTTTATTTAGAAATAGCAATCAGTCATGAAATAACAGTCCTAATCCAAAGTTGTATTGCTTTCTGGACATAAAAGTAACTTAATTAAGAATTAAATGACTTCGCTTTCATGATACAATGCATTTCATTAGAAGAATAAAAACTAATTAGTGCAGAACATGTTAAATAAGAATGTCATATTTTTCATATACGTGCAAATGCTTTTTAAAATATGTTCATTTTAAAATGAATTGATACACACAGATGTCATTGAACTATACTTTCATAGCATCCTAGTTACGTATTAGTAGGAAGAAACAAAACACATGCATCCAAGTTATAACTTCCAGATTTATTTGGCCAATGAGTTAGAACTCAACACAAGTGAGATGACTCTACACTTGGAGTTTAGGCAGTATATCTTGTATTATCTGTCCTCTGGCCCTGGCCTTTTCCTTGTACCTCTATGTCCTGATGGGGGACCCCTGACCTCTCCTTGCAAGCAGAGTATCTCCACAGTTGAATGAACAGACAATTCTTACTATACTTCTGATCTCAATAAGAACTTAAATACACTTTAATCAAGGGAAAATTTAGAAATATTAGGTACTCCTGCTCCTTGAGCAAAACTTAGCATCCTGATCATATTCTCAACTGAGGGATATAAAGGGCCAGCGAGTTCTGGCAATCACCTTGCCTCTAGCCATCCAGGACATCAGAGAGCTCATTTTCCTGCCCTCTACAAGTTTTCTAGTTTAATACTATGGTACTGAGTGGGTCTGGTATGTACCTTGATCCAATTCAGTGACCACAAATCAATTCCCACTTAAGCATCAGTAATAATAAAGGGAATACTTAAGAGTTTGTGTCTTAATCATTGTATGGTCTTTTAATGGTATACTGGTTTTCTGAATGTCACTACTAAATGTTCTCATCAGTGACATATTTTCACTATACATGTGTTTGCCTATATTCACAAATATATAGTAGTATGTGAATTTTTGAAATTGTGTCCAAAATTATATGTATATGTACATTTCTATATATATAATGGCAACAACATATTTATAAAGTTTGCATATTAATAAGTAAAGTTATACTAGGTCTAATTTTTTATTAATATCAGTTAATCATTGATGATATTGCTGAGATTAAATAATTTACATTAATGATGTGGATAACTAGCAACCTATTTTCAGATCATCAAATGGCTTGTTTAGTTTCCCCCATGAATATATATCATGGCCTTCTCTCCAATAAAAATTCAAATGGCCCAAAACTAAATAAATCAAAAGACAAACTATATGAGCCACTTTACCTCAAAAAGCCTCATGATACTCAAATGTTATAAATCTTATTAAATTATACATTTTTAACAATTACAACAAATCACTTTTTAACTGCGATGTTGCTTTTCAGTATACATGAGAGAGTGTGACATGATGACATCTTTAAGAAACTAGTGAGACACTGATAAACAGAGACTCTGCTTCATGTCTAAACTTTCAGCACCTGGTACAGTGCCTGAAACACACATATTCTCAGTTCATTCTTGACAGAATAATAAATAAACTTACATATTTGATGATGTTATTATTATGGAAAGAAGAAATCTGGATAGGATTTCTTAACGAATATGTCAAAGAAAGTAACTGATCCTTCCCATGTTTTTATAAAAAACAATTACTGCATTTCATTAGGTAGAGAGAAAAAAATCATACATACATATATATATATATCTGTATCTATCTATAGCTAATCTATATATTTGAGTCTGAGGAGAGAAAACACAGCATGAAGCTATGCAAGGCAGTTTAGAAGCACCCCCTTGTACACTAACACAGATATAAACCAGGAGCCATTGCAATGTTTCCCTGTAGAATTTATAAAAAGAGAGAACTGGGGTTTGTTCTATGAATTTGATTCTAAACTCCAGCTCTAAATTAGGTTTCATTAAATGAATTTATTTAATTCTGTTAAATAACCAATTTTTGACTCCTAATCTGTATGAAACATCAATACATACTGATTGATTCATAATAACTGGCAATCCGCCCATGCCCAAATCATTTTTATCAAATTTTATTTAAAAAGACAATTTATCATTTGGGGGGGCTAAAGCAGAGAATAAGCCTAACTCCCATAAGGAAACTTTTCAGTGAAGGAGTAAGAAAATATATAAAGATGTCAGACATCAGAAATAAAACAAAACTGGATTTAAAACTTATAGAAAAGATGCTTCCAATTGGAGACAATGATAAAGTTCCATAAATTCCATAAATTTGGGGGGCAGAAATATGAGAGCCTCTAAGCCTGAAAGAAGTAAATGACTAAAGGAAAAAAGTCATGGCTGCTTCTACCAAGATTGTGTAGCATTCTAAGGTTTGGGTTGAATTGTTAGTCTATTCTTCTTTGCTACTCTCCACACAGTTGCAGCTAACACCTGCTATTGGCAAAGATAAATACAGGAATATACAAATTGTGCATTCAATGTGTCAGAAAATGAACATAAAGAAATCTAAATTAAAAGATGATTGATTGTTCAAACAGAGAATGCCCAAGAATGAACGATGTGTTGCCCATGTCATGTCAGAAACAGAAAATTATATTCACTAGCACAAAATATTCTACTGCTCTGCAAATAAACTATGGGGAGTTTTTAAATTTCATTTAAAATTTTTTCAGGTGTATTTATTTCTTATTCAGAATTGAAACACCACATTATATTTAGCATCTTAATGGCACTAACTGATCCAATGAAAAAATGCTTTTCCTTTTTACGCTATTACTGCATCTTGAACGAATCCTTTCTTTGGTATCAAGGCTTTTCAATTTTCTCTTTAATGCCACTTATGCAATGCAAATGAGTTTTTCTCTGCTGCATCTGCTGTAGTTTTTTCAGCATCATGTTTATGTTGTATAACATGATTGACTATCTTAAATAATTTTGGAAGAAATGCCAGGATTGAAGAGATGGTTTCCATGACAATAAAAGAAAGCTTTGTAGTTAAACAAAGAAGAGATTCTCAAAGAAAATCGAGAGCTGACACCTTTTATAAGAATGAACAGAACAAACAACAAGATTGAACTCCTCATTCCATCAAACTATGGTCATCAAAATAATTAGGGGGTTTTGCATTCATATTAGTCATCATTCTTCCCTTTTCTTTCACTTGATACAGTCTGTGGGAAGAAGGCACACTGTTCAGTCAAACATTTTTAATCAGGTGAGAGAACTGCCTTTCCATTAAAGAGAATGAAAAGCCAAAAGCTGTTCAGAAAGGACAAAAACAGGGTTGCCAAAAAGAGCAAGGTTTCTGGAAAGGTCAGGCGATTGCACATGCTCGCACAAGACACGCCGCTGAGTGTGTCCATGAACATATCCTGAACCTCCCTGAACGCTCATGGGCCAAGGGCGATGACCTGACCTTCCCTCTTTTCAATTATTTTGGGCAAGTGAATGCTTCTGCTTGACACACAAGATATAACCTTAAGGAATAACTAAATGCACCCAGTCTTTTCTGATATAGTTTACGTTCAAAAATGGTGCCTGGGTGTAGCAACCAAGCTAAATCATTGCCTTCAAATTTATTTTAGGAAATTTTAAAAGTCCATACAATCCAGCTTTCTTGCCCACTAGTAATGGGATGGTTGCTACTTTAACAAACAATAGAATTTATCCCTTACAATTCATTTGAAAAGCATGAAATACTTATTTTCATTTTTAATGCACTAACACTTGGAAAAAAGGTAACTGACATAGTCCTGATCTTTAAGGAGATCCTGATTTAAATTTACACACATGCAAAGATGCATGATGCTATTTATTAGCAGCAAAATTCAGTGTAAAAATTCAGAAAAAATTATTAGCAGTGACAATTTTAACACCTTAGATTAAAACATAATGATTATGAGAATAAAATAGGACTAGCCAATTATTTTCTTGAGAGAAATCAGTATGTCTTTTACTCCCGGTATCTTATTGGGCATTCTATAATACAAGAGGGAACTATAAAATCAAGGAGTGCTCTGGCTATTCCTGATATGACTGACTCAAAATGTATCATCCCCATACTTACAGCTGCCAAATTTCAGAGGACATGAATGAGCATCCATTGGAAAATCCTCCAAGTGCATTGGACATTCAGCTTGAACTGTAAGCCTAAAAGTCAAAATTCCACTCTTTGTTTAAATAAATTGGCAGGTCAAGATAAATCACTCCTTACAGTTGTCAACAAAATTAATGATGAGATAGGACCTACTTTACAGCATCTCATTAAGCTAATTCACAATTAAACATGCTTTTGTTCCTTCACATTTAATTTAGACGATCCTTCAGAAGTCATTAACATACACAAAATCTGAGCTCAAGTAAAATATTATTTATAAATATAATTTATTAGCCATTTTTACTCTGTTGTTAAGAAGTGAAGCGTTTTTAAAGGGGTTATTTTCCTATTAACCTTGCTATTCCTATATTTGAAATCTTAGAGAGAAAATGAAAAAAATCTTCATTGTTAAAAGAATGTCATCTTCCCCATCAACTCATCAACAACCATACAGCAAAATCAGTCTTGTAATTCAATAGTGGCTCACAGGAGCTCCCTTAAAAAATAGGTAAATTGTGAATGATTATAGCATTCAGTGTGATTATAAATATAGAAATCAATATAGATACAAATATTGATATAGACACAAACAAGTATCTTTTAGAAATATCTTGTTGAGGCTAGACTATTGGCTAAATTATGGACACGATGTATAATATTAAGTAAATATTTTTTCTTTTATCCATATGATCACAATAAAAAGCAGTCATAGCAAATTTGTTATAAAGTTGTCAATGCTTTCATTTCACACAAAGGCAAAGTGGATAAACAGGAAGTACATTGAACTTACAGAAGTATTCTTATGATGAGCAAAACAAATGTGATTAACAATTTAATTAATTCAAATTCTTCAAACCAAATGTGATTAACAATTTAATTAGTTTAAAAAATTAGAAGAGTATTTAAGTAGAAGCCTAAGCAGTATTTTCTAAAATTTTGTGTTCCTTCCCTATATTTTATTTACACTTAACATTTCTGATCATTGTCTCAGTCTACAGGAATGAACAAAGTGTAAAATCAACAGGGGTTCTATATCTATATTATAAGATTCAGAGGAAGAAGCTGGAAAAAAGCTAAGCTCCATTTTTAAGGCAATGGTCATTTAGTTATGAGTCCTTGAGAGATTTTTCTCTGAAGATCAGGACTCAGAACTGAAATCCACCACTTAACATTTCATATGAAATGATAATACATAAAAAGCCTGGAATATATATTTGTTTTTAGAAAGTGTTGATGAAATTAATCCATGCATTAAATTTTTCATTAAACATTTAAATTTTAGATTATACATCATTTTATTAGATTAGTGATTGTTTTCCTTGTTTTAAATATGAATAAAACTTATTTTAAGATATTAATTCATGGAAACAGTTAAAACAGAATGCTGTTAGAGTCAACAACAGTATCTTTCTTCAGATAACTTTTAGGGCTGAATCATAAAATTGATGCTACATGACAATTTTTAATTTATAAAATGGCAATTTCATCTAATCTTATCCAATATAGATGCTCATGGTATCCAATTTACTTATAAGTCTTATCAAATAAAAGCTACCTCTCTGAATTAAATATATTTTTCTTCAGAATAACTTCATAAGGAAGATAAAAATATTAAAATAAAAGTCTGTTTGAATATTTCTTTAAATTTTGATAGGCTATCTGACGAGATATTAAAAATGAAACTACATGCTGGCATAAAGAAAATTTTGAGACACACTATTAAAGCTATGCTTAATTAAAATGTAGTATGAAGTATAGTTGAAAATCAATTCCTATAGGTAAGGCAATTCTAAGTTTTAACACACTAAGAGGGGAAACAAACTCATAAATACTATTTATCTAATTTTTCAAATAGCCAAATACATGTGAAACATACTATGGGTACTTCAATAATCTGTTATGAAAATATTCAACTGTACTTATATTTGACAACTAGGTGGCTAGTTTTTTTTATTTCTTAGTATTCAAACACAACATAACAAAACTAAAAACATACCTCATTGTGTACAGCAAAGTCCCATCATCCTGAATTCGAAGAAGCTTGTTTGGCATTGTCATATTATGAGCTACAGATTTTTTCCCATTGTGAAAGAAGGTATCTGGAGTCCAGATTTTGCTAGCCATTAAATTATTGAGTCGAAGAATGTTCATTGGACCTTTAAACTTTAGCCGCTCATCTTTCCATTTTTGTCGAAAGAAAACATCAATTGTATATTCCTAAAATATTAAATAGGATTAAAATAATAAATGTTTTAGGTACAAGGACATTATAAAATTTCATATGGATGTGAAAAATGCATAAAATAAAAAAGGAGTGCCATAAGTATACCTGTAAAAATGTTCATTAAAATTGCACAGATATAAAAAATATCATATGGAATAATATACTTTTAAAGAGAGAGCTACAATGAAAGAAGTATGAATCAAAAAAATCTTTATCAAAAACAATTTCTACTTATGAGATTCAAAAAACACTATTAGCTACATATTCTTCTGAAAAGAAAAAGAATAAATTTATTTGACCCTTTTCAGTTGAACAAAATTTCAGTAAAGTTGCTTAACTACATCGTATGGTTTAGAACTGCTTAGAGAACAGGGTATGCTTCCACAAGAACTGGGTGGATTGTTGTAAGTAGTTTATCTCGCGGAAAAATGAAAGGCTGACTAGGTGGGGGGAGGGAAGAGGAGAATAGGGAAGGGAAACAACTATCAAACACAGTGTCACATCTGTATGAGTCATCATCCCCTGCTGCCAAGAAACTGTAGAATAGCATTATTCTTTTATAATCCCTCTCAAATGTTGAGATGTCATATTGTTAGCAAGAATGTATTAAGGAATGATGATTTTAATACAGTTTATTTTGTGAAATTAGTTGTAATAAAAATATTTGAAAAGTTATTAGAATGATGAAAATGTAAATATTTTGCAAGTAAACTCCCTGTGGTTGAAACGTACTTTTAATTATTCATACAGACCAGTTAGTGATCAATTCTTCTATTATCATTCTTCAGTACTTTAGTTAGCTAGGTCTCCCCTCCCTTCAACCTCCCTCTCTCTTTCTTCTCTCATTTTCTCTTCCTTCCTTTCTTTCCCTATCTTTCTTAAGATTAGACAACGTACACATTTTAGATGATGTACACAGCTCATAATTGCAATTAACAGAGTCTACCAGATATTTTGTCAATGTATGCTTGTGCAAGCACTCACATGATAAATAACTCTAGTGAGTAATAAATAACTCAATACACCTTGGGTGAAAATTCAGAAACTGTCCTTTGAGCACAAAACCATAGTCATCACATGTTTGAATACAAATGCCACATAATTGTCTATGTTGTTCAATAGGCCAGATTAAAATGATCATATACACATGAAAATATAATAATCATTTCTAGAAATCATATTTAAGAGAATAAATGATTCTTAGTGTTCTCTCAAAAATGGAATGGATGAAGATGGTGAGTAGCAACTATAGTTAATGGCATATAGGTCAGAAATGAACAGTGACTCTGGGATACACTCTTAAATCTTAGAGGAAAATTTCATAATCAAATCAAAAAATTCAATTTTTTCCATTTTTGTAAATTATGGTATATCTTTATCTGTTTCAGAAGCTATTGCTTGTAGTGAAAGATTATAAGAATTAGTTTAGATCAAAGGTCAGCAAACCTTTTCAATAAGGGGCAGTTAGTAAACAGTTTAGGCTTTTCAGGACTTAAGGACAGAATCATAACTATTCTGTTATTGAAAGTGGCGATGTTCTAATAAAACTTTGTTTAAAAGAATAGACAGCTGGCAGGTTTTGACCCATGGTCTACAGGATACCTATTGTGGCTTGAGAAAACCAACAGTATTAGAGGAAATTTATTGTATGTGCATCTTCAAAATAACAAGACAGTATCAAACTGAAGTCCCAAAATGAGTCTACATTTATATTTCAGCTAGCAGTGTATGAACTTTGTAATTTCTCTAAACTTTGGGATAGATAAAATATTTCATTTCAGTCATTATGATTGGTACCAAAAGGTCCATAGTCTTACCATTGATATTTAATTTTGTCATTGATATTTAATGTTACTCTAATGTTTCATATACCTAATTTCCATTTCTATAAATTGTTCATTTCATGTGCTTAGTTTCCTAAGGTTTGCTGTCTTTTTAACTGAATTATATAAAGTCCTTATACTGAATTACAGGACTTTACATACATGTCCTTTTTACTGAATTATACTGAATTATAGAAAGTCTCTACATACTAATACTTTCTTAAATAAAGTTCTTGGTAAGAACTGTCATGAAGATCATAGATACATACATTATTATAAATAAATTCATGTATATTTCTTAAAACATTTAGAAGTTCTGATTTTAACATTTAGTTCCTGGGCTTACTATGTACCATATGAGATAAAAATTTAACTTCACTTGACAAAATAAGTTTATGGTATCATTTATTCACTAGTTCATCTTTCCCCACAAATACGAAATATTATTACTCACATATCTAGAGTTCATGTAAATAGGGATCTGTTTCTGAAATTTCTATTATTTTCTATTGTTTATGTTTTTATCAATTCCAAAGTCAGCTTCTAAATCTATATAATAATTACAATTAATAGCATTTCATGAGTATCCAATTGAAAATGTTTTGTTTTGTTTTGTTTTGTTTTGAAGCTTCTTTTTTTATAAGATTTATTTCCATATAAGAACTGGGGTACAGGCCAAGATGCATGGGAGGTTGAGAGGATTCACCAGAGACAGAACAGGGAACAGAACAGGCAGACTGAAGAAATACACTGCTGAGGGGAGCAGCGGGCAAGACAGGAGAGGTCTGCTTCGTCATGTGGGATTCTTGCCAGCCAGCCGGGATGGAACTCACACTGCAGAGGCTGTGGACAGCCTCACGGTGAGGCGCTCAAATGCCTACACCACCAGGGAGGCCCTCCAATTGAAAATGTTTTATAATTTCCATTATGACTTCTTTTTCTTTATGTAGGAGATATGGTGAAGTATATTTTTGTTCCAAATTTATTGATTTGTTTATATTTTTGTCATTGATATTTAATATTACTCTAAATTTATTGGTTTATTTATATTTTTGTCAGTGATATTTAATGTTTAGACTATGCTCTGAAAATACCAATTCTTTGCAATTTATTGAAAATATCCTGAGATTTTTTTCCTATTGAATCTGACCATTTCATCTTTGAATTCATTTCATTTGCCTTTATTGTGCTTACTAATATATTGGACATACTCCTGGACTGTATTATTCTAGAAGTGATAAATATATAATAAATATATAAATATATAAGGGTGATAAATATATAAAGTGATAAATATATAAGGGTTAGCTCATGATTAACTGATAAAAACATGTAAGGAAAGGAGTAGGAAATTGGGGAAGGGGATGCATAAAAGAACACATATACACCCTAGAGAGTAGAAGGAGAGAAAAGTATCAAACAAATAAAAATAAAACTTTAGAAGCAATAAAAATGTCAATAGTGCTGAAAGAACTCAAAAGCTGAGAAGTGGAGAGGGTAGAAGCCAGATTGCAATGAGCTGATCCATTAACAGAGTATGAAAATGGTGGAAATGATGACTGACAGTAGAGCAGAGAGAATAAAATTGATGGATGTGTTTTAAAAACTTAGTATGACAGTTCAGTAACCAATAGCCATCGACACACTTCTTAAATTTAAATAAACATATCTTTTGACATATAACAATCATTAGATAAGTACTAAAATAACATAAATTTAGAATCAGATCTTACAAGGTATTTAAAAAGTTCTTTAGAAATGAAATAAAGGGCCTCCCTGGTGACACAGTAGATTGACCGCAGTGCTGGGGAGCTGTCCGCAGCCTCTGCAGTGCAGGTTCGATTCTTGGCTGGCCAGGGAGATTCCCACATGGCGTGGCAGACCTCTCCTATCTCGCCTGCTGCTACCCTCAGCAGTGCTTTCGGTTCCTCTGTCTGTTCTGCTCCCTGCTCTGTCTCTGGTGAATTCTCTTACCCTCCGGTGCCTCTGGCCTGTACCCCAATTCGTGCATAAATAAAAATAAATCTTAAAAAATTATAATAATAATAATAAAGAGGATATTTAAACATATTAATTGACATAATATTATGAATAGCAATCTGAAGTGGGGATAAAAAACTTCATTAATAAACATCATAATGCTGAAAGTAATATGCATTTCAAATTTTTTCATTCCAATTTTTGTGCTTATTTTATAACATCTTAATATATTTTGCATAAAATATATAGGTATAGATTTATATATAAATATGGCCTTGATTCATTGTTTCTTTGATTTTGTTTTTTATGTTAAAACAGCAGGGAAAGCAATCATTTCCAATGAATAAATTAATTGCATAACCACTAAGTACAAAAAGATTTCCAAACAAATTATTTTCATGTGATTCCCTTAAACACATATATAATGCAGTTTCAATATTTGAAAAGACATTCTTGAAAGACTCCTTAAATTTCCTTCAAGCTTACAAAGTGAATATATTAATAAAGTAACACCTGATTTGTGTGTTAAAATAAAATTACTAGAGAAGTACAAAAAAGGCAACTTCCTTACACAAATTTAAGACTTACACCCATGAATCAAGATTCTAAAAAAATAAATAAATAAACAAAAACAAGATAATATACCAAGTTCCCCAGAGAATTCACAAGCAACTGAGGACAAATTTATAAAGAAACAAAGAGGTCATAAGAACATATCAGTGTGCAACTATTCTATGGCTACATACAGAAGACATGGACTAACTATTGGGGGAGACTGAAGAATTGAAACCTCTACACACTTCAAGATTTGATAAATTGTTTACAGGAAATTCAAGCCAACTTATCCTTCTTACGGATGAAATTATAAATAAATTCATTCAACTTCCTGCTCCCAAACTTCTTTGGGGCAGGCAAGGATGCAGTTCCCAGTTCTAAGTTTTCACTATCACTAAATATTATTTCCATAATTTACATTCCAAACAAGGAAATCACTCTCTATTGCACAATTTATTGTATAAACATGATTTCAAGGACACATTAACTTAGTGAAAACAGCATTTTTTTTAGTGCCTTGTTCATTAATTAAGAGTCAATGCTTATAGTCAATTTCTGAAGAATTATATCTACTTGGTAAAACATAACTAAATTGCAGAACTGCCCTAGGAGTAATTTCTCACTTGCTTTGATTT